TTTTTAAAAAATTAATTAAATAAAATATCAATAAAAATATATGTTATTTTTTAATTAAAATTTTAAATAAATTTATTTTTAAAAATAATAATAATTGAATAATGAAATTAAATAAAACATCTATTAAAATTTAAATAATGAAATTAAATAAATTATAAACAAAATTTTAAAATAAAATATCTATTAAAAAAAAGTTATTTTAAAAAATTAAATAAATAAAACATCAATAAAAAGTTAAATAAAATTATTTTATTTTTAAATTGAGACATTTAAATTTTATTGAATTTTACTAAATATAATACATAATTAAATAGATGGTCAAAATGGTCATTTCACCGCCTAATCCCAACAGTGGATAGTCCCTCGAAAATTGTCTCACCCCCCTCCTAGGATACAATAGTCCCCCATATGAGGGATAAGGAGTTCGACCGGACTTCATGTCTGGTGGACTAAAAAAAAAACAAACACCGGATTGAATGCTTCCCTCGGATTACAATCTGCATAGTAAATAATCCCTTCAATAAAACACACTCTTGGAGTGTGTTTGTTTTGAGGGATTATTCCATGGGATTGGACTATTAGTCCATCCAAACTAATAGTCCAGTATTTGGTTCAATTTTTTTACTTTAGATGAATAGTCCCTCCGGACTATTAGTCTCTCATATGAGGGATTATTGTATCCTAAGGGGAGGGGTGAGATTATTTCCATAGAATTGGTATCTCATGAAATTAATGTGTGAAATATCCATTTTACCCTTATGTTATTACTTAATAAACAATTGAAAAAAGGTAAAACAGTCTTTTGAACATTTATAAAAAAAATTGGTGTTGTTAATTTAAAATTATATATTAAATAAAAATATAAAATATAAAATATACATTATAAATTTAATTTAATTAAAAATAATAAATTAAAAATTATGGTCTTATAAATTAATTTTTTTTAGTATTGTTAAAAAATTAAATTTATATATTAAATAAAATTATTTTTTTAGTGTTGTTAATTTAAAATTATATATTAAATAAAAATTATAAATTAAATTTAATTAAAGATAATAAATTAAAAATTATGGCCTTATAAATTAATTTTTTTTAGTGTTGTTAAAAAATTAAATTTATATATTGAATAAAATTATTTTTTTAGTGTTGTTAAACTACAAGGGTAAAATAGTCTTTTGAATATTTTATCTTTATCCAGTCCGTCCAACCAAATGTTAAATTTACTAAAAATAATCCAATCCAGACACCTAATTCCATGACTAAACAAACATAAGATACAAATTTAATCTAACTAAATAGTCTAAAAACAATATATGTTATAGATTATAATCCTCCCTTTATCCAGTCCGTCTAAATAAAAATATTTTAGTTCAATCAATAATTTTTCATTAGAGGCATTCCTAGCTAGGATGATTAGGATAGGTTAGGCCTAGGTGGGAAAACAGAAGAAAACAACAATGATTTATCCCACTAAAAACATCACCACTAATAGCACTAATGTATTAAAAAAAAAATACAACTCCAAGACCAAAACATCACATCATTAATGGTGAGACCCACTGCCACCTAATTAGTGAGAGCACTAATTAGTGCTCCCAAACATTTTTTCAGAAGAAAAACACCCCATTCCTACACTTTATGCTGAACTTAAGAACGGCGCGATGCCAGAGATCAGTGCCCATTTATTTAACATTTTACATAACCGGCACGGCAAGTTAGCCCAGAAGATCTCATCAAAATCGAAAAATTATGAAAAATTATTAGTAGGTCACAACGTGGCATTGCCATATAAATTCTATTTGATACAATTTATCATGTTTGATTATAATTTTTTTTTGTCAATAATCCTAACACAACCTTAAGTCATATATAACACCAAAAAATAATAATAATAATTTGGAGGTTGTTGGTTGGGACTTCGCACATTTTTCGGAATCATTTGGTGGTCTTTTGCCTTTTCCTTGGTGTTGGCTCTTATAACAGAAAAAGAGAGACAGGACATACAGATATATGTATTATAGCTTTTAAAATAGAAAGCTAAAGCTGTGTCGACTTTTTCTTGAGGTTCCTAGTAGGAAAATTATTATTTTGGATTAAGCCAAATCTACTTAAATCAAGATATACTTTAAAAGTTGTTTAGAATATACTAAAAAAATATATTTATTTTTTTTAATCTTTTTTAAATTATATCATCTTTATTGAGTGGGAGATTTGTGCCGAACAGTGGGCCGAATTACGTTAGCACAGATTCTAGTGTTGGGCCGTGTAAGTTGAGCCTGGGCGCATTGTGGGGCTGAGTTAAGTCCGCACTGGATATGGTGGCACGCATGTAATTAGCTGAGCTAGGATCACGTGGAACAGGGTATTTGATTAGGTCCGTACGGATGCGTTGGGCCGAGCTGTGGACAGTTCGGACTGTAGATGTAAGGACTGAGATGGCCCATGAGATCGTTGTGTGAGGCCGAGATGCCGAATGGTGGGCCTCGTATCCAGTCGGTTCTGATGGACTGGTTTGGTTTTGCTCGGCAGTAGCTATCCAACATAATGTTTATGTTTCACTAAGTAATAGCTCAGTTCAATATGCCACGTGGACCAATGATGAGAAGATGGGAATCCACTCCTAGTATGTGTCAATACCGTTTGGCAGTACGACAAACACTGTTTGGAGGTTTTGATTTCTACACGTGTAAGAAATGTAGATGAGAGCATAGCTGCTTGTCTAGAAAAGGACAGCAGAGGTAGTACGCTCATAATCTCTGAGGTTGCATGGTCAGCTTTGAAAAGGAGGAGCATGCAGACGTTGGTGGTAAGCAATCTTAAACTCTCTCTCTCTATAGTGCTTTGCCCATTTTCTTCTCCCAGAAAGTTAACTTAACCATCGAAGAGGTTTTCCGGCAAACCCACCTGCCGAGTAGCTCCTCTTTGTTTTGTTCACAGTGCAACGGAGTTCTAAAGGAGTGAGACGAACTTGGTAGCAAGGAGGTACGGAGCGAGGCGAATATTTCTCTCCTGTACATTTATATATATTTTTTATATATATTTTCATAAAAAATAAAAAAAAATTTAAATCACTTAATTCCAATTGACAAAAAAAAAGGTGTCCATTAGTGTTAAAACTCTGTCGGCAATGTTGCTAGCACTAGTCAGAACTGACCCATTATTTTAGACCACTAATGCTCGCATTTTCAATCAGCTAATTCAGTAGCGGAGTCAGAAATTTAATTTAGATGGGGTACTTATTAATTATAATAATTTTTATAAAAAATATTTCACGTAAATTTTTTACAATTGATTTCAGGAAGCATCAAAAAAAATATTATTTATAATTAGTGTATCATAGATAATACCAAAAAAAAATATGGATGTAAGCCTTAAAATAAATTATATAATGATAAATTATTTTTTGATACAAAATTTGATTAAAAATTCAATATAATAGTAATACCACGTCATCATTGGTATGTAATATCACCCACTAATGGTAAATAAATTCATAAAAAGTGAACCTCACATGTCAAATGTAACTAACAATCTAATAAATTTCATATCTTTATAGTGAGATTACTTATACTTGCATATCACTAATAGTGATATCGTCGTTACATTCAAAAAATTTCATAGCTAATATAGTTTATTTATAATAGTCTCTTCATTTTCAATCAAAACAACATTATTGTTTTCATAATTTTTAAAATGTCATTGACATTTCACTCTAATAATATTTTTGTAATTTTTTATTTAAATTTTTTTTTTATGTTTGCAAAAAAAAAAAATTCAAAATCCAAGGGACACGTAACCCCTTGGTCACATACTGCCTCCGCCCCTGAGCTAATTTACTTATTTATCACGTTTAAAAGAGAAAAAGGAGGAAAAAATTGTATTTCTAAAAATTAGACTCAAACTCGATCTTTGAGCTTTATGCCTAGGGTTTGTTTGGGATATTCTAAATAAGTGTACTTTTTAATTTTTTGGACTAAAAAATTGAGAAAAAAAATATAGTTGTTTAGGTTAATTTTTTGACTTTTTATAGAAAAATGTGTATTAAAAAATTATATAAATTAGTGTGTGAGAAAAAATTAAGATTGAAAGTTATGAAGCTGTACTTTTTGACTTTTGATGAATAGTGATAACTTTTTAACTTTTTAAATAATTTTTTGACTTTTTGAACACATACCAAACTTAGCCTAAGGAAGCATCTTAGCCACTTGTTATCTAGCATTGTTAGGCTTTGTTTGGAAAGTAAATTGAGTTAAAATAATTAATTAAAAAATAAAATAAATTAAAATAATTAATAAAATAAAAAATCACATCAAATTTAAAATTATTTTATTTTTTTATCATAATTATCAACTTCCCAAGTATAAATTTTATAGCCAAGTTAGGATTCATTAACTTTTTCCCAAGTATAAATTTTATAGCCAAGTTAGGATTCATTAACTTTTTACCCATCGTTTCCGATAGATTTTTTAATTTTTTTAACTTTTATCATAAACGATAGATTTTTTAATTTTTTTAACTTTTATCATTAAAAAAAATTATAAATTAAATGTGACATTTTATCTTACTTAATTTAAATAATATATATTTTTTTATATAATTATACACACAAATAGACATCCCAAATGAAACTTTAAAATAGCCAATAATCAATTAAAATAGAACTTTAAAAAAAATTATAAATTAAATATGACATTTTATCTTAATTAAAATAATATATATTTTTTTATATAATTATACACACAAATAGACATCCCAAATGAAACTTTAAAATAGCCAATAATCAATTAAAATAGCCAACTTCTTAAACAATGTCTTAATAAATCCATTTAACTATTTTAACTTAGTTCCGCCTTCATATCTATATCAAAGTTTGTATATTATTGCACTTAAGTCAAAATTTAGCGACCCTACGCCAAATATAAAATAATATTTGTGTGACCCATTCACAGGATAGGGAGAAAACTCGATTTCTATACATATAATTGTCATGCCACAGGAACTAATAAAAATACCCTTCACAATGAAAGACTAAAAACTCATACATGTTCATTCCATTGAAACATATACATCCATAGATATCACATAGAAGTTCCAAACATAAAAAGGCCACAAGAAACAGAAACAGAAACCAAGGGAAGAAAAGCTTTCAAGGAGATGGAGGCCAACCATAAACAGAATCCTCATCAAATCCATCATAAAACCTAAGTTCCAGACTTTCTTCATCGTCCCACATTCCATCAAAACTGAAACTGTCACTGTCGTAGAAAGAGTCCGTGTAATCCGAGCAAACCTCCCAGCTATTCCTCTCGTAATGGTCCACGACTTGCGGTCCCAAAACCCTCAGTTTTGGGAACTTTTCTTCGAGGTACTTCTTGTCAAGCTTCACATTCCAGCATCCTCTCAAATCCAAGAACTCGAGCTCAAGACAGCTTGAGATGATCTCAAGAACGCTTTGAGTGTCAATGAGAAGGTAAGCCATCTCAAGGTGCTTGAGCTTGGGCATCGTGACAGCAATGGCATGAGCCTCGTCTTCTTGGGAAAGCTTTCCATCCATGTCGATGGGGTGCATGTTCCTGCGCAGCCCTGTGAGCAATTTGCAGTGCTTCCCAATGGCCTCCAATGCAGGAGCGCCAATTTTACAACAGTAACTCAAATCTAAGAAGGTGATGGAAGAGAGCTTCCCGGCAACCTGTTCGACAATTGCATCGCTCATATCACTTCTCGGAAGCCGCAACATCTGAAGAGAACCAGAACTAGAAAAACCCAAAAAACCAAAAACAAATCAATCAAAAGACCATCAAGAAGGGCACTATGTAGATTTTGATTCCACACTAAACTATTGATTGGAAAGTGAATTGGAAAATTGGATTAGTCCACTCCAAGCTAATTATTGAATTAGCACCCTGCATAATTCGCAAAATGGGATAATAGTTTGATCTGAATCCTGTATGAATCAGTTGAACATGGAAGCATGCATCAGTTTAAAATTACTAGCTTGCCAGGTTCCATGTAGATTAAACACAAGTAGCTCAAACACAGACATGCGCACGACATAAGCAACAAAATTGGACCAAAGTTTTGATCTGATACTGGACAAGCTTTAATTGAATATCAAATTGGACTAATAAGCTTGTATCTGAACACAAGTAGCAGAGACACAAACACCACGAGACACGACATGACACGGCATAAGCAGCAAATTGGACAAAAGGTTTCATGCAGTTGAATTGAGTGTCAAACTAGACTAATATTATCTCAATCCTGTCTGAATCAGTGTAAGTGTGCAAGCAAATCCAAAACAGCCCCAATTAATGGCCAAGCATGAATTGATCTAAGACTTGTGCCCAACTATGAAATGAAAATGGTTTTTCCACATGGATACTTCAAAAGCTACTTACTGGTCTGCAATGAAGGAGAAAATGAGGTCACTCTGCAACTCCGAAACACACAGCTTTCGCAGCGAACCGCCGCTTCTTACGATCAGCATTCGAAGCATTTGATCGATGTTGTCGGGGTCGGACCGACTACTCCATTCCTCAATGTCAATCTCTTGCCAGCAATAAGGCCCCATCACCACTTTGTCCCATGATTTGCAAACCCTGGGCACCACTGTGAGTATCTCCTGGAGAGATAGATTGCGGAAGATCAGCCCGAGTGCATCGGGTATTAGCTCATCCCAACACCGGAAATCAGCCCCTTCTTCCATCTAAAACTTCACAGATTAAGGAGCAGAGAACACATTACTAGTAAAATTAATGAAAATCCAGTATTTGGGGGAGACGAATTAAATGAAACAAAAACAAACTACAAATGAGCACAATGAAAGGGATAGATCTAAACTTATTTGCCATAAACGTCACTGTTGTAGATCAGGATCAAGTTTGGAGATAAGAGATTGAAAGAGATGGAGCACCAGATCTTTGAATAGGGGAAAACCCAACTATCAAATGGAGAAATAGGGGCCCAAAAGACTTAATATCCAGCAATTTTACAGAGACAAAAAGAGAGAAAATGCATAACCTTCACATTCTCCCCCTCAAACACCACGGTAGTGTGCTCCTGCCATTGGGATCTGAGGAGGGTTGGGGTCAGATTTGCGCAGTGCAGGAAGATTGTTTCCAAAGATTTAAACCTATGACCCCTAAATCGCAATGGAACAACCTTACCACTTACCATCAAAATCGTGATTTTTTGATACCAGAGAAATGAAAAATAAAATAAAATAAAATAAAATAAAATAAAAACCCAAAAGAGAAATGCTTCTTTCAATAAAACTAAAAATCTAAAAATCCAGAATACAACACGGGGCAAGAAATCAGAGGTACACAACAATATAGAGAAAGGAGCAACCTTTACCAAATCAAACATACATATTTGTGAGGAAAATGAGCAAGAAAATCAACACCAGGGAAGAACAAGTTCAGCAGAAGAGAGATACATATAGGCCAAAGAGTGAGAAAATTAAGAGTGGTAATTAGAAACAGAGCAAGTAGAGAGAGAAGAAAACCTCACTAACCCAGATGCAGAGTGCATTGAGTGCCACAATCAGATCAAGAAATTGAACATCCATGATCAATATGAACAAACAAGAACATATAATCGAAGTCACTACACATGCATAGAATAGTAATAATAAACATACTCACATGAAGATGGAAAAAGAAATGATAAATATGAGTAACCAAAAACCAACAGAGACTCAAAGACTCTGCCTTTTCCTTCGGATAAGCAAAAGACACACCAAATTATCCGCCAGAAACTTTGGGGGGTAGAGAGAGAGAGAGAGAGAGAGAGAGAGAATTACTGAGCCTACCTAACAGCCCAGAGATGCAGAGCAAACAACCAACAAGGAGTTGAGGAGAAAGGGAAGAACAAAGAGTAAAGACGCAGAAATTTGTGATGGAAATTAAAAAATTGCTGTGGATTTACATTTGTATATATAGGTGAGAGGAATGAGAAGAGTGTGAGACTAGTGGGGGAGTAATTTTACTGTGATACACAAAAGTGATAGAGTTAGCTGGTAACGAGAGATTGATGAGAGAGAGAGAGACAGAGTGACTTCTTTAAATAGCATTGGAATTATACATCTATATGTCTTTTAGGTCTGGAAAAAGATAGGACTGACGGACTCAGCAGATTTTTGGAGAGAGAGAGAGAGAGGGGGGAAAAGAGATAGAGAGGTGGAAAGTGATACCGAGTAATGTTAATAATTTTATTTTTTTTTATTTAGCTTCCGTTTAGGTAGTGGGTTAATTTTTTAGTTTTTTAATTTTTTAGTTATTCTAACTTGGGCTATTTTAGCTTGGTTTGGGAAGAGTTTTTTGACTTTTTAGTTTTTTTTAACTTTTTTGTGAGAGAGGATTGTAATGATTATGGATTGGATTCGATGTTTTGTTTTTTGTAACTAAAATAGCCTATTTTATTTTTTGCGACTATTTTAGCCAAAAAAGCCTTACTTTTTTCTTCCAAATTTAATAATTTTAGTATTATACTAAAAATATAGGCTCTGTTTGGAACGATTTTCAAATTAGTTTTCTACTCTCACATTTGAATATGATATTTGGATAGAATTGTGGAATTAATTTTTCACAACTCTGCAGAAAACTTTGTTTAAGAGTACGATTTTCAAATTTTTTTAACAGATCGTTCTACCGAACGTCTTACCAGACGTCCCATTAGTCGTTCGGGCGATTGACCGAAACAGTGCATTTTTTTTTTCAATTGATATGTTAATTTTTATATATTCAAAAAAAATATTTTCTGAAATTTTTATATGCTTTAATAGAATTTTGAGTTGTATGTTTAGTTATGAGTTATAAGTCTTTGTACCAAATATCAAATGTCACATCAAAAATTCTCCATTCTTTTTAAAACTCTTTCACCAAACAAATTTTCCACACTCAAATCATAATTCTAAAATTTACAAACTCAAAATACAACTCATACTCCTAAATCATAATTACAAAACTCTACCAAACGCAACCATATGTTTTTTTTTTTTTTACATAAAAAAAAATAAAATTAAAAATATAGGTGAATAGTGAAATTTAGTGTGCTAATATTGTGTTGGCAATTAAAATACAGTATTAAATAGTTAAATTAGGAATACATTAATAAATACATTAATAAAAAAGAGTTAATTATTTTTAAAAAATATTTATAAATGTTATGATAACTCAGATCCTATTTAAGATTTTTTAAATCAATAAGTCCTATTTAATAAAATTGAAAATATTATCAATTTTTCTCAATTTTAAAACTAAGAATATTATCAATTTTGTATAGTAATATTTTGGATAATTATTTCACTACCTGATAAAAAAATAGAGCATGAGATTAAATATTTTTGTCGTTTTACTTATTGGTTTGATTCAACTATCCAATAAAATCGAGAATATTATTATTTTTTTCAATTTTAAAACTAAGAATATTATCAATTTTTTCATTTTAAATATTTTTTCAGTTTTGCACATCAATATTCTATCATCATACTCTTTTATAAATACAAAATTTTCAATTTTGCACAAAAAAAAAATAATTGAATTTTAAAATTTTTTTTGCATGTAATTTTTTTTTATTAAGGTTTTTTTTTTCAATTTAAAAGTTGTTGTTTTAACGTTTTGAAAATCAAAATAAACGTCAAATTATCATGTTCTTTTATAGATAATCATAAATGACATGACTATTAAAAATTTAGTGAAACTTGAAAATCTAAAATATCTTAGTTATGACTTAATGGAGTATAAATTTATAAATTAGGACTTGTGTATAAATGTCCATAAAAATAAAAAATAAAATGTGAGAGAAATGCACGAACTCATCTAAGGGTTCGTTTTGGATGTTTTTTGGCTTTTTTATTATTTTTAACTTGGGACTAAAAAGTCTCGTTTAGGATATGATTTTAATTTTTTTAACTTTTATAAAAAAAAATAAAATAATTATAGATTGGATGTGACATTTTATCCTATTTAGCTAAAATAACTTCTTTTGTCCTATATAACTCTTTTAATTCAAACACTTATTCCAAACGGGGCATATGTAAGGTTTACATAAACCTCAAGGGCTGATTCAGACTATTTTGACAACTAAAAAAAAAAAAAGTCAGCTTATTGATTTACTAACATCATATCATCTTTTTATTTGTTTATACATTTTTTTATAAAAAAAATCTAAAAATTAAATTTTTTTTCCCCCCTATTTTCCAAAATAGATAGTAGGCAAAACTTTGAGTTTAGAGATGTGCTTCCTTTAAGTTTAAAATTCAATACTCACTAGTTGCTATATATTTCTTGAAAGGGTCATGATTGAGACCCCCTCTAATCACCACTCCCACCACCCCACACACACATGGCGGGTGGTGATTAGAGGAGAAGGAAAAAAAAGAAAAAGAAAAAGAAAAAGAAAAATTGGCCAATCATGTTAAAAGGGGGTCAAAAGGGGTGAGAGGGAACGGGGGTCCGGAACATTATTGTTCCTTGAAATTAGTTTATGCAGGGTGTTTGCCAGAATTGAGAAGGGTCGTACTGTGATTTCATGGCAGCATTTTTCAAATTTATCTCGATGTTTTGAATTGTTCACATTGTAAAATTTGTCGAGCAGATCATCCATGAAAAAGAATCAAATTAATTAGACATTTGTAATCCATAACAAGATCACCTTTATGTTTAAAAAAGAAAATTGTTAGCATAATTTTAATTAGTGTGTTTGTTTTAATTTTTTAAATTTAGTTTTCTGAAAATTAAGGGTTTGGTTTGGTTTTGAGAGATAAATTTTCAAAAAAAATTTTGGAAAAAAGTTTAGAAATTTTTGTGATTTGTTTGGTTGTATATTTTGAAAATAAGTATAGTTTTTTAGGATGATTTGATATTGGGAAATGATAGAGAGCTCTAAATATAGAGCTCTAATTTGAGCTCTAATGATGTGTCAAAGCAAAAAAAAAAAAAAAACAAAGCAAGGCACAAACATCACATCAAGGTGGGACTCACCTTCCCATTAGAGCTATTAGAGCTCCTATATTAGAGCTCTAAAGTATTTTTGTTTGATATTTTGTTGTAGTTGAGTAGATGTATGTGTGAGAGAAAAAGTAATTGAGAATGAGAAAGGAGTGGGAAAAAATGATTGATTGATGTGTAAGAGATAGAAAGTGATTTTGGGAAAAAAAAAATTCCAAAACCACCAAACCAAACAAAATTTTAGAAAATTTTCTCCAAAATTTATTTTTTAAAAACAAACCAAACAAGGCATGAGTTTTTTGTTTTTCTATTTTTAGTGAATAATTTTAAAATTTTAAGCAATTTTTTTTACTTTTTAAGATTCACCTTATTTAGATGATCTAAATAGTAAAATATTTGTAAAAAAATATTTTAAAAAATTAATAAATATACAAAAAAAAATGTACTGAATTTTTTTAAAAAAAAATTTAAAAATATTATATTTTTTTAACTGTACTTATGTTAGGTGTGTCTAAAAATTAAAAAATAAATACTTAAAATATTATAAAAATCATTGAAAACAAAAAAATTCAAAAAAATAAAAAAAATAGAATTTTTCAAAAAGTGTTTTTTGCAAACCAAAACCAAACAAGCTTAATTTTTTAAAAAATAATTATGGTCTAATCATGGGACTGCATATATCTCATTAAACCTTATTTTCTATATAGATGATACACTCAACGAACCGTATAATATGAACGGTATAGATTATCAAAATAAAATCGATACAAACCTCAATCAGGGGGTCACAACGAGGTGCAGTGACAGCACTCTCCCCATGTATGTATTTGCTCTGACTTTAAATGGGACTCTCACAACTATTTTGACCATTTGAACTGTTTATTTTGTCAAATTTTATGAGTAAATCATCTAAAAACATCATACTAATTTAATAATCATAACTATATAATTTTATTATATTTATTTTTAATGGAACATCATCGAATTCAGAGCTGATTCGGGAATTCTGGAAAACTGTGTCGACGATGCAAATACCCAGCTAGTCAGTTATTAACCTATAATATGAACGGTGCTATTCTTTGTGAGCACAATACCGTGTTGTAAGTTTATAGAGGTATTTTTTGAATTTGCTTTTATGATTCATACTGTTCATATTGTAAGATTCATCAAGTAAATTTTTTATAAAAAATAAAAATGAAATCAAATTAGTTAGGTATTTATAGTCTATAACAAGGCTGTAGAATTTTTCAAAAAATAAAATAAAATAAAATAAACGATTAACATAATTTTAATAATTTTTTAAAAAATAATTATGGTCTAATCATGGGACTGCATATATCTCATTAAACCTTATTTTCTATATAGATGATACACTCAACGAACCGTATAATATGAACGGTATAGATTATCAAAATAAAATCGATACAAACCTCAATCAGGGGGTCACAACGAGGTGCAGTGACAGCACTCTCCCCATGTATGTATTTGCTCTGATTTTAAATGGGACTCTCACAACTATTTTGACCATTTGAACTGCTTATTTTGTCAAATTTTATGAGTAAATCATCTAAAAACATCATACTAATTTAATAATCATAACTATATAATTTTATTATATTTATTTTAAAAAAAATAAATGATAATCATAATTTTAAAATAATTTATTCATTTTTTAAAAATGAATATTATGTAATTATAATTATCACATCAATAAAATTTTTTAGATGAATTTACTTACATATAAAATTTGATAAAATGATCCATTTAATTTCTTCAAAGAGAAATGCTATGCCTCCGTTTGGGAAGTGGGTTGCCTTTTTAACTTTTTTAGCTATTTTAGCCTGGGTTAAAAAGTTTGATTTGGGAAGAGCTTTTTGACTTTTTGACTTTTTTAACTTTTTTTTTGTGAGAGAAGAATGTAATGATTATGGGTTAAATGTGATATTTTATTTTTTATGGTTAAAATAGCCTATTTTATCTTTTGTGATTAAAATAGTCAAAAAAATCCCATTTAACTTTTGCCAAACGAATTATCTTAAATATTTTATTAAACCTTCATATGAGGTGGAACTCACACAAATTCGCTAAATCTCATATTTATATAAAAAATTTGATAAAATATTTTGAATCTCTCAGATAACTTTTCTAGAAACGGACCGTGATAGAAT